CGACGCACATAAACCCCCAGTCCCAGTCAGCTCTGGATCCATCGACTGTGGCATCAGTTGGGATGCTGAAGGTGCAGGGATTACCAAGCATCACTGGGTATGAACAGGACTCGCTCTGAATTTGACCACTACTTTGGGTGTATCAAACCTTGCTGAACCGGACACAGTGCTGACGAAAGGAGATACCTCAATTCATTTAAATAGTGGCAACATTTTCTATGATAAAGGGGAAAAATTACAGCAATTATGGAGAGGTCGGCTTCTTAGCATCTATGGGAATCGAGTGTAGAAGTTTAGAATTCAAATGTACTTTGCCCAACTTATATTAAGACTCTCAAATCACTATATGTTAAAAGTAATTCAATATAAATGTCCAAATAAAACTCCATGAATATGTATAAGTAAAAACGCATTTATGAAGATAATTACACAACTTATAAATGAGAGCTACACACACTAAACCAATGGAACGGGGACTTCAGTACAGAGGTAGGCAAGAGGAATGGAGATGGGAAAGGATGTGGCATTAGAAAGAAAAAGGGGAGAGCAAAATGCCTCCTAGAATTGGAAATCATTTAGGTGATGAATGCATTTTTAAAATCTACAAGGTGGACATGGAGGAGCCGAATTAGATAATTAAACATGAAATATTCTCATGGATAAACCCATGAAAATTCCAACAGAGTTGGGATGTATTCTCAATTTTCAGTTTGATAGTTCAAATTCTAATATCAGGCCGAGATATGAAATTTCGGATCATCTGAAAAAAGAAAACAGTTTCAGATTCATCTGGAAGTGGGACGTCACATGGAGCGATGTCAATTCCGTGACTTGGCGTCAGGGCTTTTCCCACCAAAAGCGCCATGATGTGACATCATTGTATTGCACATGCAACGTTAAGTTTGCTTCAATCATAAAAAAAATATTAAACATTACGTTAAAATATGCTTATTATACCGACAAAACAGCATGTTTATGATTACACTTAAATTATGAAGGTTTAACAAAAATATTGCATTTAGTGCTTAAAAATTAATGTTATTTAGACGTATTACATGTATTGTGACATTGTGAAAATAGAAAATGCAAACTGAAATGTGGTCAAAAACCCCGACAAATGTGATCTCCTAAAAAGTGAAATGTGTCGACTCACCCTCATACATACACAGGCCTCTGTACAACCACAAGGAAAATAATTCGAACAGAAGGAAGACACCACACGAACATGATTGACGGTGTCACAATAAAGAATGGGATCAGAAGAAATAAAACATTAGTAACTGTAAACCACCAACAGAGGGGCTCAAAGAGATCAAGATTAAGTATACAATAGATCATAGATACAGAATTATAAAAAAAAATGACTGATGGGCAAAATTGGTGATGGAATGGCAGGCAAAGGAAAGAATGCATCCATGAGGAAGACATGGAACAATAGGATCGTTTCATCTACAGGGGTGCGAGAGGTTAAAGCAGCACTGGTCTGCAAGAGATTATTAAGCTTAGATAAACAATTAGGAAAAAGAATGGCCTACACTAGAGGGCGCTCTAGAGAACCCCACTGAAGAGGATGTGGCCTTGATAATTGGTGTAAATGCTTACCCCGAGCTCTCATACTCTGATGGTGCATTGTCTTTGAGTTGTGCGCCTTTTGGCGTCATCTGGTCCAACCCATGTGAGACTAGGCTCTAAGGAAAGCTGTCTTGGGTGTGGACCAATCAACTTCAATGACAGTGCACATTATCAGAGTTATGTTTTTTGTTTGCATTATGACTGCAGGTATTGTGGTCTATGCAAACATGACTCCTTGTAAAAAAAAAAAGGTGTCAGTTTTGTTGCCAGATGGAAGGGTAAAAAACCAATTATCATATTTTTTACTGGCAAATGAGGTTCCAATGGAGGATGTGGCCTTCTCTTCAATATATGTTGGAAGAGGTTTGAGTATCCACTATTTACCCCACCACACATGGGCTGCCGATCGACTTCACTGTTGTGAAGCCATTTCTACCGATGGGTGGGACCAAAGCGGAGGGCTTTAAGAAACTTGCCAATTGTTTCCACTGCCGTGCCAGCAGATAAAACCGACGGCTTCTGCATTACAAGGCCAGTCATTGATTGGAAAGGAGCCCCTGCACTGGACACTTATGCAAAAATGTATTTTTGCAGTGCACTGGAGGAAATGTCCATCAACACACACAGACCCTGCGGTGATGGGATCGTAACATCTGCATTCACTTCTTAGCTACATGTCAGCTACTACAGCGCCATAGGTCAATTCCTCAAAGCTGCAGTTTTTAAGGATAATGCCACCTGCCTATTCATCAATGTTTACATCTTGAGACATGTGGCACTTATCAGACACTTTATAAATAAGACTACTGATGATGGCTACAGTTGAAGTTCAACTTGAGGAGCTACAGAGGCCTAGTGTTTGTGACGTGGTGGCATCCGTCAAAAAATACTTGTGAACTTCAACCGACTCTGTCGTGGCAGACCACGCTGTGACCAAAACAGCGAAGAACGATACCTTTTCTCGGGTAAATTATATTTTAATTAACCTGCTGCATGACAAGTAGATGTATGTCGTGAACAATATTTTCTGTGGTCCTTGTTTCTTCGGTTCATACTTCGTACTGGACATACACGGTTACAAAGTCCCTATGATGGTAGCACAATTTATATAACAACGCACTGAGCGGATCACAACATGTGTTTCATTTACGGATTGCAAATGCATTCATCATATTTAATGGCCTGTCCAATAAGGCAACGGAAAAATATTAAATGCACCATTGTGCACATATGCCATTGTCTAAGTACCCCTAGTTTATATATTAAACAAAAGAACAAAAACTCTGTAGACTAAATCTGTTGACTTGCTCTTTTGGGAATGTATCATAATTCAAAGTGTAAATAAATGGTTGTGCCATTTCCCAGACGACTGAAGTCTATTAGAGGAGTTGTGAAGATGGGATGGAGCTGAAGTGTTCTACCGTATACAATAATGCCTCTTGGGCAAGCTTCCCCCATGAGCAGTATCTAAAGGTGTATATATATAAAACACTATTAAGATTAAACCTGTAAAGGATAAGTGTAATAATTCGAAAATGAACATCACAAACATCAATATATTTCCAAATATCCACTGCAAAGCTAATGTAACTCAACACACTCTTGCTCAGTGAAATAAAGAGCATTTTAAATGAGCTGAAAAATAAATCTTGGAAACATATTTCATAAACAACATGTGGACACACATAAATAAATAATATCACGGCTGATTGTGTGGGGGTCATTGGTGTATCACTGCACAGCATCTTACACCCAGCTGTAACCAATAATTCTTATTTGTTTACGTATATTTTTTCACATGCTATTTCAACGATTGCACAATTTCTGTATCGGAAACTAAATGGGATGTACCACCGGATTGGGTCATTACCGGAAACTGGCCAGTTCCCAACCCATCCGATCTGCTGCTTTTGGAAACCGGATTAACGTTGCGACATACTGTATTAGGATTGATCATAATGAAAATTTGAATTGTAGGGAAATTGTTGCATCGGATAATATCAACTGAATTTTTATTTTATCCGATCTATGTTTAAAAATTGTATCACGTTTTTCAAAACCAAATGTTACGTAAAATCAATAACAGTTGTACTAAACATTCGATCTCGAATAGCAAATGGTAATTCATCCTATCCTGGCTTTCAGGACACTAACTGTGATTTTGCTATGCTTAAATGGACTGCAAACATATAATTACGCACCACCCTCATCATTCGATGATTTGTGTTGATTTGGGAAACGAAGTTTATTAAATAAAATCTGCTTTAGCTCATTTGTCGCGTTTGTTTCCGTCGCACCGTCCCATGTTTTTGCTTCCCTCTCATACTACTTGCACATCATTTTCATAAATCATAAATATCGTAAAGGATACACACTCAAATCTGTGCGTGCATAACCCGATGAATCAATTCCAGTTAATGAATCTATGCAAGCCTATTGCCGTGTGTGCATCACTGGAGCGGCCGCGTGGACTAGATTACTCGTCTTCTTGGTTCTTTCGGTAAAGTCACGTAAAAGGGAAGTAATAAAATAATAAAAATAAAACATAATAAAATAATTCTCACGACGTTTCGGGCCACAACGCAAGCAGCCGTCCTCCCCGACAGACATGTTCTCCACCTGAGGACGGCTGCTTGCGTTGTGGCCGAAACGTCGTGAGAATTATTTTATTATGTTTTATTTTTATTATTTTATTACTTCCCTTCTACGTGACTTTACCGAAAGAACCAAGAAGATGAATCCCTGCAGTCACGAAAGCTTTAAATCGAAATTTAGATTACTCGTGTTTTGGTCTACTCTAGCCTCCATTGTGCAGAAGCATCAAGGTACAGTTGTTTTCTTCACACATGCTAATTTTATATTATCCTTTAAATTAATTAATTTCTACTATTAATATGTTATTCTCGTAGCGTTAAGAGTTGATTAGTCTATTATTGTCTACAATGTCAGCAGGACGTCAGCGAAGCTATCAATCAATCTTGATTTTACGTGTCAATATCGCCTCAATAAAATAGGCATCAGTCAACATTACAACAGAACGAGGAACGGAACAGCGGCACAGAACAAAATCCATTATTGTTCTGTACTTCGATGCTCCAACCCACACTGACCAGCGTGGTGAAGTATGGTCAATTGACACCCACAAACCGCACGGCAGAGGGAAGGTCCTCATCCAACAGTGTATCGACAAAAGTGCTGTACATGTACAAGATTGTATTATTAGTACTGTAGTATATAACTATTCATTGAAAGTCTGACGTAATCTGTGTCGTATTGGATCGACTACAGTGTTCATATTGAACAGGAAATTTCAACCGTGCACCTCTCGTAACAGATCATACAACGGGGAATTCATTATAAGCACCATAAATTATCCACTATTTGGAAAATGTTTAGGAAATGTACAGATGTAAAAAATTGAAAGATACCTTCGGCAAGCCAAGCTTCCTGCAGCTGACTCAAGTCTTGGAAAAGGTCTGGAACAAATGGGAAGGAGATATTTTATATATATTATTATTCGTATTACTGTATATTACTCCCAGTTACTTAACGGTATGACGCATTATGTAAAATGATATAAAATATTAATGACATTCTTTCATTTGCAGAAAGGAGGTAAAGTTCACGCTGCGTCATTGCACTGCAAGTTGAGAGTTAAAGAACCCAATTAGCTCTCAAGAATTAGCTGACATGCACACACGTGAAATGTGTTATTGCTATTATGCATATTTACACAGGAAAGCCTCACCAAGTCTCGTGACTTTTCAGGAGGGTTCTGCCAAGATTTTGCTGGAGACGCAACGATTGCTATGTACATTATATTGGAATAAAGTAATTTGTTACGTATATAGTAACCATAATATGCATTTACGTATTCAGAATAATAGGCATGTATTAGCTCTGGTTATAAATGGTCAAAGACGATGATTTATGTTCATTACCACCGCCACAAAACACCATACCATTGCCAAGAAATGTCACCATGGTGGTGCCTGTGGTGGTAGGAAAATACGTAGCGAGCTACAACGCAGGACACACCACACAACAGGAACATTTCCCAAGTCACAACTCATCCAACCAACGATTCTCCTACATCTTAAGCTGAAACCCAAACCCAACTGGGCAGCTTACGGAAAAACTATGACCGGGACATGCTGCGTAATAGTTCAGATTCAACCTCGTGCCCGGTAGGCATGGCCCAACTTCTGCTTTGCCAAAACTCCTTACCTTCAGAGTCCTGTGCTAGGTCGGTCTGGGACAAGCGCCTCTTTCTGCCCTGTCCACATGCCCTTCCGCCCCCCTTGTCCGGCTCACCCTGCACGCACCGAGGGAGGCAAGGACACACACACACACATTCACGACACTGCAGCTCATGGGAAGTTACCGTCTGCGATGGAGGCAGGAGGACAAGGTCACAAAAGCAGGCAAGACACGCAGCCAGCTCTAATGGCAGCCTGCGGCCGCTCATTCCACAAACCCAAGCGCCAAGTGAAAGAACAAACACCCACCTTGTTGATGTTTAATGACCTCAATCGAATAATCTTCCGGTGCAAAATTCTGCGATTTAAGTGTCAGGTCTTGATATAATTTTCTATTGAATGTGATGCTGTCCAAATACGTTTTCTGCAAGTGGTGTGCAGTACAAAAATTTAAGTTTGTCTCCCACCTTCTTGGTTCTTTCGGTAAAGTCACGCAGAAGGGAAGTAACAAAACAACAAAAATAAAACGCAACAAAATAATTCTCACGACGCTTCGGCCACAACGCAAGCAGCCGTCCTCAGGTGGAGAACAGGTTCGTCAAGTAGACAGAGTCCACCTGAGGACGGCTGCTTGCGTTGTGGCCGAAGCGTCGTGAGAATTATTTTGTTGTATTGTATTTTTGTTGTTTTATTACTTCCCTTCTGCGTGACTTTACCGAAAGAACCAAGAAGATGAATCCCTGCAGTCACGAAAGCTTTAAATCGAAGTTTTTCTCCCACATCAACCATTAATTTAACACCACTGTTTTATCATCGCCATGAGCCATGCCATGATCAAGCCACTGCTAGATGACGGACTCCCCAAGCCACTGTCATCACTCATGACCCTGTGACATTTCATAGGTAAGAATTCTAAATTCATGAAGTGTTTATGGCAAAAAAATACATTCACACACATTGTATCTATACTGGACTATGGATTATGTGCATCAGCACAATGTGCATGAAAAAAAATCAGTCCATAGATTATGAGTGGAATTTCTGCTGCAAATAAGCAATATCGCATAGGAGTACCTACCATGAGGTTTTCTATTGGCTTTAACAAAGAGCCCTCGTCTAGACTTATCAGACTGTTGGGGCAAGTGCTTTTAACGAGAACCTCAGGTGGCAATGTTGAGCGAGCACCTCAGTGGCAATGTTTACAAATCGCACCAGGTACTCGTTTGAGGCCGAGTCGACCTAGTGGATGCCCAGGACAAGTTCAAATAATCGTCACTAGTGTTGACCATGAGCAGGAATCGAGGTCGCCAGGTTCGTAGGGCAGCACGCTACCCGTTGCACTACCGCACCCCACTGATGGCTTTAATATAACACTCCACAAGAGGAAAATTACAAAGTTCACTGGTGATAAGTGTAAAGCACGAGGATTAAAGAAATTTAGAATTTAGCCTGTTCCGGGAGTGAAACCAAGAAAATTGCCAGTCGTAATATTTGGGTGCCCAAATAAAAAAAAAACTTTCAGATCTTCGTTTATCATGAGCAGACTCGACGCTACGATTCAAATGTCAACTTTCTCGCCCTTTCTCGGGCATCATTAGAACTCGCATGGCTCTCAATCCGTCACGCAGGCGTCTACATGTGTTAGATATAACCTTGTTTTGATAAAAAGCCATTATGCCCTGGGCAGTGAAAGGAGGGGTGGAGGGAAAGAGAATTAAAGGAATCAACGCGCTAACGAACCCGCGCGCGGAGCAACAAACACGCCTTTGTAAAAAAAACTCTGAAATTTCAACAACAAAAAACCGCATTTTTTTTTGCGCGCAGTGAAATCGGCCGAGAGTTGAATGCCCTGAACTGGCACCTGCCCCCCCACCACCACCCCACCACACGCCAGAGAACAAGCGGCGCTTTTAACGCCCCTCGAACACTGCACGGAGTGTACGCGCGCACGCAGCCCACACCGAACACGTTACACCCCTAATAGGCGGGCAAAGCGGATGGACCGACTCCATCATATCGCTCTTTCTCTCTCTCTCGCGAAGCTATGCGAGCCACGCGTCCCCTTCTCGAAGACGTCGACCCACCACCACCACCACGACCTTCCATTGCGCTCCGCCCGTGATGTTTAACTCAAGAACTTTGCATCCAACGGCTCCAATTGCGAACGATGCACTTAATTCGCAATTGTTCCCATTGCTTATGGGGTCACTGGTGGTGTACTAAGAGGCAAGGGTAAATGATACGGTACATCCTGTGGATGAACTAGTCCCGCCGTAAAAGAATGTGTAATTTCTGGCACTGGCTCCGAGGTCTCCCCCACGGAGATGGGCACCGCTCGTTTTGAGCATGGAGAGGACACGATTCTCTCCCAAGTGTTACAGGCATCGACGTAGAATTGTGTCAGTGCATCGGTGGTATCTTTGAGAGGCCAGCCGTGGATCTATGGTTGGCGCAATGCGTTGTGAAATCCGGTTACCCGAGTTCGATTCATGGCCGCGTCGAGAAACCAGTGGGACACACTGACCAAAGTGGGTGAAGTATGGACAAACAACCTCCCCCCACGATTCGCATGGCGTAGGGGGAGGAGATCATCATCCAGCGATGTGTTGACCAAGGGCTGCAATTTACTATCATAGGAATACCACAAGCCGACACTGCGCCATGCACACGCGACATGCATTATACGTACGTGACAGTACCTGACAAGCGACAGTGCCTGACAAGCGTATAGACTTTAATCATTCTCGCAAGGCGTTATTATGGCTTTTTTTTAAAAACACACCACGAGACAAAACCAAAGCAATACAACGTCAAACGCATTCATCTTATCACTGTCTGACCATCACACACACGCGCGCGCAATCATAAAGCACTCTAATTCTCCAACATAACCCATTGTTATCCTTTGCAGTGCGGCGTAGGATGTTAATAATTGCCACTAGACTATGCCGCTTTACCAGTGTCATCCACTTCACTTTTTTTCCTCCCTAAAGATTGCGTCGAACCGTTGTTCACTCGGAAAATCGGCGGACTTAACGCAAAGGGACTCGATGCACACGTACGGGAGGAGGAGGAGGATGACCAAGTGGAATCATGACAACGATGCCACCTCTACTCCCGGTGCAATGATCTGGCTCAACCAGCCCCGATGTAGAACATCACAGTTGTTGCTCCACAGCAACAATTCACCGTAAGAGGAATGGAGATTGGCAGGCAACACGTAGCGGCAACGCGCTAGAAACTTCAGTTTTGGGTTGCATCGCTTGCAAAGAGCGAGAGAGAGAGACCGAGAATAATCGCTGCCATTTACTTAACTGCCTTCTTTATCGAGTACAACGCAGAGCATTGTGGCCATTTGGCACGAACCAGCTTTCTTTCCACACACACACACATCATCACAAGCGAGTGCATGTATACTCACATTGCAGGTGACCGTCAAAGGCACTTGCTGATCGAGGTAGGGCTCCATCGCGCTGCGCAGTTGATGGCTACAAATGTGGAATGCGGGCCGATTGCTTCGCAAACTCGCCCCCCTCCACCACCACCACCAACCAACCAACCTTCTCCCTCTCTCGTCTCTCCCTCCCTCCCTCTTTTTCTCTTCCCGCAGCCGGGTTCCCAGTCGTGGCAGTGAAGCGATTCGCGGCTTCACCCCTTCGGAGTGGGCGAATTATGAATGGAGAGAGCTGCGGCGGCGGCGGCGACGGCGGCTGCCCGGCCCCATTCATAAAACCCCCGCCCCAACCCCGCCCGTGACTCTCAGTGGCTCCCTCACTCACTCACACACGTGTGTGTGTGTGCTTACACACTCTCTCTCTCTCACACATGTGTGTGTGTGCTTACACTCACACACATGTGTGTGCTTACACACTCTCTCTCTCTCTCACATGTGTGTGTGTGCTTACACACTCACTCACACACGTGTGTGTGTGTGCTTACACACTCTCTCTCTCACACATGTGTGTGTGTGCTTACACACTCACACACATGTGTGTGCTTACACACTCTCTCTCTCTCACACATGTGTGTGTGCTTACACACTCTCTCTCTCCCTCTCTCACATGTGTGTACTCACCCGCACATATGTACGCACACGTGTGTGCTTACATACTCTCTCTCACATGTGTGTGCTTACACACTCTTCCTCTCTCTCTCACATGTGTGTGTACTCACTCACATGTACTCACTCACACACACGTGTGTGTGTGTGCTTATACTCTCTCTCTCTCATGTGTGTACTCGCCCACACACATGTACTCATACATGTGTGTGCTTACATACTCTGTCTCTCTCTCACATGTGTGTGCTTACACACTCTCCCTCTCTCTCACACATGTGTGTGTACTCACTCACACACACGTGTGTGTGTGCTTACACACACTCTCTCTCATATGTGTGTACTCACTCGCACACATGTACTCACATACACACACGTGTGTGTGTGCTTACACTCTCTCTCACACATGTGTGTGCTTACACACTCTCCCTCCCTCTCTCTCACATGTGTGTACTCACTCGCACACATGTACTCACACACACACGTGTGCTTACACACTCACTCACACACACATGTGTGTGTGCTTACACACACACATGTGTGTGCTTACACACTCTCCCTCTCTCTCTCACATGTGTGTACTCACTCGCACACATGTACTCACACATACACGTGTGCTTACACACTCACTCACACACACATGTGTGTGTGCTTACACACTCTCTCTCTCACATGTCTGTACTCACTCGCACACATGTACTCACACACACACGTGTGCTTACACACTCACTCACACACACATGTGTGTGTGCTTACACACTCTCTCTCTCTCATATGTGTGTACTCACTCGCACACATGTACTCACACACACACGTGTGCTTACACACTCTCTCTCACACATGTGTGTGCTTACACACTCTCCCTCTCTTTCTATCACATGAGTGCTCACTCGTACACATGTACTCACATACACACACATGTGTGCTTACATACTCTCTCTCACACACATGTACTCGCTCACACACATGTACTCACACATTTACTGACATACACACACTATCAGACATGTGTGCTCACTCACACACATGTACTCACATACTCACACATGTGCTTACACACTCTCTCACATGTACCCTCTCACATGTACTCTCTCACATACATGTACTCGCACATGTACTCGCACATGTACTCACATACACACACATGTGCTTACACTCACGTGTGCTCTCTCACACACATGTACTCTCTCAGACACATGTACTCACTCATGTACTCACATACACATACATACATACACACGCCTTTCTAACATGTGTGCTCTCTCACACACATGTACTCACACGTGCTCACACACTGACATGTGTGCTCACTCACACACGTACTCGTACATGTACTCACACACATGTGCTTATACACTATCTCTCACACACATGTATTCACGCACAAACATAAACAACAAAGACAAAGATCCCCCGTATAGCCTGGAATAGACTGTTGGGGCAAGTGCTGTTAGTGAACACCAATGAATTGTCGGTACGGCAAACAAGAGAGCGTGGGTGGCCAACACCATGCCCGGCCGCCTTTGTCTCCCCAGTGGTAATGTTTACACGCCGCACCAGGTACTCATTTGAGGCTGAGTCGACCTAGGGGAGGCCCATGATCGGTTCAGATAATCGTCGCTGGTGTTGACAGGGTCGTAGCGCAGCGCGCTAACCACTGTGCCACCGCTCCCCACATATACACACGTGTGCTTACAGCTTACATTCCCTCACATGCGCTCTCACACACACGCACTCTCGCAGATGCTCATGCATACACTATTTTCACACGCGCCAATGCACATACTCACACATTCACCCACATATTTCAAACAGATGCTTGCACTATTCAGACATACGATGGTCATGCACACAAAGACAAATATTCCCAAGTTAGTCTTAACAGCCTGTTGGAGAAAGTGCCCTGAGCAAGCGTCTATTTAGGCCAGCACACGCCTGCTTATGCCCAAAGATACACACACACTCATATACGCCACCACATGTGTCAATGCACACACGTGCCCATGCATATGTATACAGGTTCATGCATATTCCACACACACATGCTCCAGCTAAACTGATCCACCCATGCATACATATACGGATGCACTCTCTCATTAACTTGTAGGCTAGGTAAGTTCTTACTCTTAGTTTTTTCGGTAAAGTCACGTAGGTAAAAAATGAAATTAAAATTAATAAAAGTAATAATATAAATTATTTTATTATTTTATTTCTATTATTACTTTTATTAATTTTAATTTAATTTTTTACCTACGTGACTTTACCGAAAAAACTAAGAGTATGAATCCTTGCAGTCACGATAGCTTCAAATCTAGAATGGGTAAGTTCTGTAAGCGAGTACCTATTTAGGCTCTGCCACAACACACTCACACACAGGCCCACATACTCAAAGCATCACACAGGCTCACACCTGGATGGATCGATAGATGGAGGTGGGCAAAGGTGTGCAAAATCATACAAACGCATCATTCAATTCACTGCACGGTATTGTATATACATTGTCATTGAATTGACAAATCGCAAAGCGCAGTAAGTTCGCAGGCTGACTTCACAATGCAAAGACGGTAATTAAATAATTTAAAAAGAAATATTTTGTGCTTCCCTATTGCGAAGTACAACGCATAGCCTAAATGTCACTGCCAATTTTATCATTTCATGGCCGCCCACTTATTATGATTGCCTGGGGTTGGTTAAGTCGGGCATGCATGGGGCCCATGTGACCACAACACCAGGTTATTCAATATTGGCATAAAGCAGCCAGCGAGGTGCACAGACAAGCATCCAGACCACGTGATGCAACGACGACCTGAGCACATGAGCAGTGGCAGCTGGGAACCTATCAATTTAATTCGTAATAATTTACTTATTTTTTCCAGGATAGCCACATTGAGTTGTAGGGCCTTTTTCAGGAAGGTTCCTGGATTAGGTTTTTATTTTAAGATGTTTTCAACCAATTATTGAGTGGTTATACATGCGAGAATAAACCGGAGCACCCGGAGAAAACCCACACACGCAAGGGGCAACGCTCTATCCCCCTACAGATGGAAACGGATGGCGACGAGTCCATTTACGTCTCCTGGCGAGCCAGGGTATAGCATCTCCTTGACGCCACCAACCCTCAATCTCCAAAGTGCTGGATTACAGGCGTGCATGACCACTCCCAGATTGTACTATATGTTCTATGTAGATGGGCCATTGCGAATAACGTCACCTATTATATTGTATTCTCCTTTTAAGGGCAGTGTTGATGAATGTGCGTGGTTATTTTTGTACGATTTGTACTTGTGCAAATAATTTGTGGTGTGTCCTTTACACATTGCACTTCGTAAAAGCATTTGGAGGGGAGAATGTGGTGTTTATTAACAAACGCAACTAAAATACTGCACTGCAGTTATATATCCTTCCCTTCCGGGATTTTGATGGAAAATATATTTTGTCTCAATGGGCTGTCCCCTTGCTTGCAAATATATTGTGATAGTAATATTTTATGACAGCCCAGCCTATGACCAAATCAACGGAAATGCAGCTGATATCGTAAGATTTTATAATCCTAACAGATTCCAGCCTGGACAGAGCTTAGAACGGTGATCACCATGCATGCCATGCGGTTATAGGCTGAGTGGCTACGTGGTGGGCAGCAGATGTCACTGCAGAACACTTCATTGTTGTGCTGTACTTCCATTTTCCCACATCTATGCTCCCTCCCTACCTTCAACCCGTACGCACCATCATGGTGAAGTATTGTCAAATAACCCCCAAGGTCTGCAAAACATGGGGAGTCTCACATCCAGCAGTGGATTAACAAAGGCCTTAACATGTAATTTAACGACAGCTTAATGGCTATATAATAACAAAAATAAAGTGCAATGCAACAGTTTTTCGTGGAAAATAATGAACAACAAAAATGTAACGAAACTTTATCAGCAAAGTAAGCACATGTGCAAGAACAAAACAACTTTCAGCAGTTTATTTTCACGAAAATGCTTTGCAAATGTTCAGTTCCCTGTTATACGACCGTCCCAAATCCACACCTCTGATGAGCATGGACGGCTACATATGGTGCGAAAGAAGTTCAACATACATAGTAGGTACAAGTCAACTGTAAACAATAAGTGTAACATATTGTTATCATATTCTTTGGGTCTGTCGGTAAAGTCACGTAGATAGGCTCAAAGAAAATAACAAAAAACTACGACGTTTCGATCACAACACAAGCGTTCGTCATCAGGAAGAAAAAAATTGCTCTTTTTTGACGAACGCTTGTGTTGCGATCGAAACGTCGTGGTTTTTTGTTATTTTTGTTACTGTCTTTCAACCTATCTACGTGACTTTACCGAAAGACCCAAATAATATGAATCCCTGCAGTCACGAAAGCTTTAAGTCAAGATATTATTATCAGGACATCTAAAACAAAAGCAATACTCCCAAATGTCACCCCTATGTCCTGCGTGATGTGAGCACCTCGCAGAAGATTCTCTTGC